TTATATATATATATATATATATATATATATATATATATATATATATATATATATATATATATATATATATATATATATATATATATATATATATATATATATATATATATATATATATATATATATATCGATATCCATACATCCATACACCCCAAAACCCAAATAAAGCCACTTTACAAGCCTGTATAGAATTGAATCCATTAAACAAAATGACAAGAAAAGAAGAAGAAACACGAGGAAACCAATACATTATATCCATACTCACAGGCATTGGGAGGTTGGGTGGAGTTAGATACGGATTGTGATGATACGCTTTCAAGCAGTAGACAGTAGGCAGCCACACCAAGCACCGCGAATGTCCGCATGATATACACTAGTTCTGGGTGATAAAAGGCATCTTAACATCATATGAGTTTAAAGCCGTTTGCCTCTAACAACATAAAAAAAATATCTGGACAACAACAACAGACACACTTGAAGGGACACTATCATTTTTTGGAGTGAAAAAAAAACAAGGCTAGTAAATACAGTCGTGCAATCTTTAAAAGTATTCTTAATTCAATCAGAATATAAACTATCCTGAGACTCTACTCTTAAAAAAAGCCAAGATATTTGATTTAATATATGACCGACTACGATTTATTGAAGGGTAATTCTGGGGTTTGAAGAGTAACGATTATGTTACATATTAAACAAATATTATAGTCAATAAAGGATAAACACAAGTAACCTTTGGTGATACAATAATTGTTTAAACATTTCAGACCATTATGATCATAGAAGCTAAATGATTCCAATGTTTATGTTTGGCCGTTGGAAAGTACTATATAATACGCACAAAAAGACATTTTAAACACATCTACATGCAGTCAAATTTAAAGACAACCAGTGCAGTTTTTAGGGCTCGGAAACACGGATTTTTAAAAGTCAATATTCTAGTCACTCATCTACATACTGAGTTTAAACCCCACTATCCTAATGTATATTGAACCTCATGGAGCAGAACTACCCAACATTCTGACGGAAAATGGTTACTGGAAGGGCCCTGGGCTAATTTTAAGGGTACCACCATAAAAAAGGACTCATCTTGGGGCTTGTTTCTGCAGTTGTAAATGCCCAAAGTATGAAATACTGATTGGAATGTGCTAATGTGAAGCAGTATGTGTCAATATCATAAAGATTTCCTTATTCAGAATATTTCCAGTTTTGCTGATCTGAAATCGCATAGGATGCCTTTAACGTGTCATATTCCAAGCTTAATGGAAAGCAATAAGGGTCTAGTCTAGTGCTTTGGCCGGAGAGAGAAAAAAATGTAGGTTTTTTGTCCTGATAATTTCACGCCCGGTTGGTTCAGTATGTAAACATGAACCACCGTGACCTTAGAACGTATATCCTTGCGCACAATCAGTACAGATCCAATTACTCATATATATTTTTTTCAACTCCTATAATCAAAGAGTTCAGCTCAATTCATCTTTATCAAAGTTCTTCAAAGATTAGCAAACAGTATACTTCGACCGACCTGCAAAGGTCTTGGCCCAACCTGTTTGTCCCATCCCAAGTTTTAAGATTGCACCAATATTTTCAAGGTAACAAAGAGAAATTTTGGTGATGATAACTTGGGACTAATTTGTTTATCCAAGAACCCCTGTTAACTGAGCTGTTCTAGCTGCGGAGTTCCCCTGAATATCGTGTACGGTGAATTTCTTGCACGTTGTGGAAAAGTTTCTAAGTCTTAATCAACCATTTGAGGTTTATTATGTTAAACCGATCAACATGTCTATTGCGTCCCAAGGTAATGTAAATTAAAGGTGGCTCCAGATGGATACATGTATCAGATGGTCTGCATGGGGAGGGGGGCACTAGCAACGCTTAGTGGTAAATTAATGCTCATATTTATACGCAAAACGTTTGCTAGATTCAGTTATCTGAATTTGGTAGACTTAGGCAGCAAACTCACCGGGCGTTCGGTTGTGACTTTTGGAGTTCTGAAGTTTGACTACGAAGAACCTGTCAATGACTCTTACCAATGACTGTATGTAGTATGAAGTAACCTGCAACACAGAATAAAAAGGATCAATTATGACTCACTGTATATACCACGTACACACAACGCACCCATAGCAGAGGGTCAAACGTGAGGCCATTGGTGAAATGTAGCCTAAAGCCAGAAGAATTCAACTTTGAACCCGTTCAACGTGTTTCCTTTGTTTGAAGCAAGCATGGTAAGAGTGACTGTCTGGCTCTACTCTCATGCCTCGGGGTGTTTAAAAAATCATATCTCTGTTGTTGTTTAGTGGAACTAGAATATTCCATGTCTAATTACGACGTCTTATGGTCTACCCGTAGTTATTCCAGCGATAATTAATTAATTCGCCAAGAAGGTTATGTTTTCAGAGGCGTTCTTGTATGTGCGTGTGTGTGTGTGTGTGTGTGTGTGTGCGTGCGTCTGTGTGTAGACACGATGACTTGAGAAGGCTTAAATGGATTGTTTTGATACTTGGTAGGTATGTAGGTCTTGATGAGACCTAAAAATAGTTAGATTTTGGATCCCCTAGCTGCTTGTTATTGTCACGTTTACTGTTTAACGATTTTACGTTCTATATTGTTTAGACTGTGAAGAACCAACAGTCTTTCGGTTACACGAAAGCTGGGCTTTGTATGGCAACACAAAGACTGCCCTTGGTTTGGACGCTTGTGCCACTTGAAATGGCAAAAATGACAAATATTTCATGTTTTTACAAAGTATTCTAGCTAACACTAGTTAGTAACAATAATTAGATGGTCACTTGAAAGGTCGTTAGTCGAATCTGGTGTACAATACTCTTTTGTGTACATATACCACCATAGCTTGATGAAATGCGTACCTTAACGGAAACTACAAGAACAGAAATATTGCTTGACCTACTGCAGCCTCCTTAATGAACATAGATGACCAGTAAGTAACTCAGGACAACAACTAATTATAAGAGGCAAAATGCACAGATTTAGGTATATTCTATACCTGGTTACACATACAGTTGGGCCTTTGTGATGTATAGCTTACAGACATAGAATGGACAGGATTTGTAGATCAGTGCTCACCTTGTGTCGGTCCAGCGGCTGAACATCAAACCCACCCGGGTCTGTGTTCGACTGAGTCCCAGGCCCGAGTGACGACACTTGGCATTTGGTACGTGTCATGTGGCAAAACTCGTGCATAATAATGAGTTATACGAACGATTATTCTATTCAATTAAACGTGTTCAAAGGGGAGGGGTACAGATATATACTTTGTCGTATACAGGTTGTTTGCATCGCAAGCGAAAATCAATGTTCGCCGAGAATATGCCTTTCCTCTATATTTACATTTTATTTACTACAGATTTTTTTCAACTGCGAAAAAACTCGTACCCCTTTATATCACAAATTTTGGTGGAATTTACTGTAGAACATAACCTCAAGAATATCGTTTGCCGTTTGTCCAATGTTAAAGAAAACTAATCAGGTGAAACCTGACAAAGGTCCAAAGATAGGGTGAGCCAAATTACTTTCAATTTTGTATGCGTGATATCAAAGCCTTAAGTTTTTTCTTGTTATATTAATTGTTTATTTGCAAAATCATGCCCGAAGGCTAATTGCGTGTACAGTCAATTATACAGAAACAGGAGACAGGTAACAATCTGTCTGGAAAAACCTCTACTTCTACTACTACTCTAGTTATAAACTTATTTGACCCCTAACCCTTATGTACCCTCTACAATTAGGCAGGTCGATGGATAAAAGTTGTCTAAGTTGTTATGGTTATCCTGATGATTCTAATCTTTATAACAAAGAAAAACAACCAGGACAGTAGCAGAAACCTAAGTACTCAATACGTATTATACATCGCAAGCATATTACTCACAAGTGACTAGGTTCTAAATTTATTGCTGTGCATGTAGAAATATGGTGCGAAATTTGCGGCCGACTTGGCAATTTTAGGAACAAGACTTAGCCAGTGCTCTGTTGCGAGTTGACCAGCCAGTCTTCTACTCAACTAGGTTTCCTTAATGTGTACTTATGTGGCTTTCTATATTCATGCTAATTGTTAGTTGGATCTTGATTTGCTGTCACATTTTACCAAAATTTAGTATAGTATCTGATTGCTCCATATCTTAAAGTGTCTTGAAATGACTTAGTCTAGCTTTTATTATCGTGTGTCCTTGTATATTCGGCCTTGAAATAGAAAAAAAAAAACCTGAAAGAACCTCTGTAGCAAGATTACGTTTTTTTTCTTATAAAATTACGACTTAGAAGGCGAAAAAAGGACTTGGCCCCTGCTGTCTTCTCTCAAGTATTGAAAATAAATATAGCAATCACATATAGTCCCTTTTACCATGATTTATTAAAACTATAAGTAATACAGCAAAATCAACAGACATAGTTGAGTGAAGATATCAGGAAAGATCAGTAAGTTGTTTTGTTGATAATTATTGTCTGTTATGTAAGATGTATATGCTGTGGATTTACTAACATAAAGATATCATACGATTGTTATTGATTGAGATAGACGTCTTACTTGGAGCAACAGTTATTATAGTACACATGATTTTTGAAGTGGTTATAATTAATATTATAACTGAAGTTGCTAGAACACAACAACGTGCTATAACTTGCATGTTGTAGCATAACCGAACCGATTATATTACATCATAAGCACCATCTTAGCAGATTCTGACACAAGCGTCCACAGCTGTAACTCACCAGACATGAAATGACATAATATAACACTACATAACATAACATAACATAACATAACATAACATAACATAACATAGCATTACATAGCATTACATAACATAACATAATATAATGTTATGATAACATAAAATAACACAACATAACATAAGCTTTACTGAAAGCGATGTAAGTTGTGTTCCCTATATGGATGGTAAATTTGCATTAAAGTCTATAGTATAACGTACTGGTTATTGTCTCTGTATCATGATCATGCGCCCAGTTTTAACAATTTTGCCGGTTCTAGAGATTACCTTTACATTTACCTAATAAGTACCTATCTATATGGCTGGATTGTAATATAATGTCTGTGTTTAAAAGATCTGTTTACATACGTTACTCGTATAATTACTCACACGAATTAGTAAGTCTTACGTTGAGATGCCTTCCTTGAGCATCTGCAATGTGATTCTTACTACGGGCTTTATAAATCGAGATTATGTCTTCTTATCGAATTTAGGAGGACGTTCTGACTTTGCATGTTTTGTATTTTCTGATACCTTTATTCCAAACTTTTCAATATTTAATCTCTATTATACAGCAATACTGTAAGTCAACAGTTTCTTTTTCATTTTTTTGTGTTCCTGTTGCTTTTTTTGAAACCAACAAATTTATAGAATTTATAAATTAACCTAACAGTTCATCTGTGTCGGTAGAAGTCATTTTGAAACAAGATTGAACTGCAAGACTGTTGTACAGTCGCAGATTTGAGTGAGTCCATTTTTTTGTGTTGCAGTTCAAATTTTCATGAATATAAAATTGCAATCAAATATCTATGACGCTGACAAAAACATTTTGTACGGACATAGTTTTCATTTCATCAAATATCATCTGTTATGAGCCTTTTTAGGTAGGAACGACACGTTTGCGACCAACGAACAGAGTACACGGAATGGCCACGGCGACAGCAACAATGTAGAAAATCAATCCCAAACGGTCAAGGACATGAGCCAACCAAGCGTACTCTGACTTTTCTTCATCGTCATCAGCACCACATGCCTTTGCCAGAGCATCGATGCTACAAGACAGTTGACTAACAGTAGCATCTAACTTATCTACGCTTCCATTTAAACGAATAAGGGTAGCTCCGACCTCGTTCTTCACGTTGGGAGGTGGGTTGACCTGTCCGGCAGATGGGCCATTGTCCATTTTGAAGGCGTGGTTGGAGTGCCCTTCGATGTCATTAACTTTGTTCTTTACAGCGTCGCCTGTTGGCTCTTCATTTTTCAGCTTCTTGGTCAAGTCACCCAAGAACACGGCCCTTAAGGTACAGGAATCCCGGTTAACTTTTATTATGTTATGATGTTAGGTATATGAGTTTATATTTTGAAACAGGTTAAAAATGTAATTTCAGACGCGAAAAAAATGACATGACAAACTTTCTGCTTTTAATAATGTTCCACTGCTTAACGAGTCATAAGTTCTATCTGCATGGCGTAAACTCACGCAAGCAGTGAATTTACAAAAAAATGTAGTTGGACAGTAAAAAATTTAGGTAAATCCCATTTTTTGTTTAGAAAATTACAGTTCATGCCTGTTTCACAATGATTTCTAACAACGCAAACTTTCAAGCTTACTTAAAGATAGCACACATGTGGAGACTTTATATTAACAGAATTCGAAGGTTTGTCGTACCTTGCCATATGCTTCAGGAAGAAAGTCCGTGCCCATCTCGGAAGGGGACCCTTCTTGTCGTGTATGATGAGGATAAAGACAGTCCACAGCATGAAAAGTGCCATCAGACCCATGCACACTATGATCAGCATAGCTGAAAGAGATAAGAAGCATAATTAGAGGCCAAGTTTCCGATATAAATGCAAGGTTAAAGACATAAAGCCTGACCGGTTCCAAAATTCAACAAATATTCAACCAGATTTTCAGCTTCTAACAGTTTCTTGCTCCCCAAACCAAAAACAAACAGTAAAAAAAGAACATTTCAGTATCGTGCAATCGACCTTTGGAACAAACTACCACAACACATCAAATCACTGTCAAGCACATCTAACTTTAAAAAAGCCATCCGCCACCTGTTCACACAATATGAGTCCTGTGATTAGAGTGTGAATTAGGTATCTTTCATTTGTACATAATGTAATAATGTAAATTTCCTCTTTATGTCATATGTGTATTTTTTACTATGTCATATGTTGTTTGTATTGTATGATCTTTGTATGAACCCTGGAAGACTAGCCAGTTTTGGCTAAAGGGTATCGTAATAAAGGAATAAAGGAATATACCACGGAGTTAGCAAAACTGGCTGTTGTCTAAACAACTTTATTATTGCGAAGCGAGACGAAGTTGAACATGTGTTTATTAGCATACATTAGATGTAGTTACTGGATACCAGACCTGTATCACTGTTACTGTGCATAGAACGTTAAAACCATAAAGTGTACTTAGCTTGTGAGGGCCTACATGTACAAGAAAAGTCTTTTTCATTCGTTAATTTCAAATGTGAGGTCACGATTGGTCAATCCATTCTCCACATGATACATAAGGCACTCTAACACACCTTTCAGTTCAAGAAATGACATCACTGATGTGAGGAATATTTTCACAGTTGGCTGTGATGAAAGGATTCTATGTCCGAACATAGTCGTGTTCTTTCCCCATAAGAATTTAGTGAGTTCTAAAGGACTTGGGAAATCAGCTCACCGATGAATGGCAGGGTACTTGACACAGGCAGGAAGCCAGTAACGACGACTAGCGACACCACCATGGACAGCAGCACGGTGACGCCGAATCCAATCCTGTCGCCTTTATCAATGGGCATGATGAAGGTGATGATCATGAGGACGATCAGGATGAGACAGGGAGAGATGGTTGTGGAGTAGTGATAGGTGGGATCTCGCTTGAGTGTTATCGTCAGGCAGGCCTCGTTGTTTGAAGATGAAGCTGTTGTTTTTCCAGTCCACTCCCCCGTGACAATGTCGGCCTCGGGATTTAGGCAGGTCAGGAAGTTCTTATTTTTGACCTTGGTGTCATGGTGTGTAGTTTGATTTGCACATCCTTAAAGCAAGAAACAATTCAACAGATCAACTGTTTTATATTAGTATTACATGTATTCGGTTAGCTGGTAACATGCTGGTTGTACTGTACAGCGTTGTCTGAACTGAAGTTTTACACACAGAAACAGAGGCGCCTAAATTTTTGACTGTTTAACTTAAGTTTTTGTCAAGGAATGAGATATCTACCGCTTCTAAACCTTCACGTTATTGGAATCTTGATATTGAATGGATTGGAGAAAAGCGCTCAGGGTGATTTGTAGTGAATCACAAAATCCTGACTGTAGAATTTTCACCATGGCATACCGGCGCACGTGCCTATTCTCTTTAACGTACGTGGGGTGTGGCTCTCCCGATAACGGGACCTCCATTGAACGTCCTTTAAGGTAAGTCATTTATGTACAAAAGAAATAAAAAAGGCCTGAGAATTGTGCCCTGAGGAACTCCAGACGTGACAGGGAGCAACTCTGAGTGGCAACCCTCCACCACCACATGCTGACGACGATTAGTTGAATATGAATTAAACCAAGCAAGAAGATTTCCGCCAAAGCCAAATGTTTGTAACTTGTGGGTCAAGAGAGTATGAGAAACAGAATCAAATGCTTTGGCAAAGTCGAGAAATAACATGTCTACTTTCCCCTCTCTGTCTAGTATGGACCTTACTTGAAAGGGACGCCATCGCTAGGAACTCAACCAGCGCTTTGTTTTTATGCGTGTTCGCGAGATTTCGGCAGGACGAGATTCTACGAGTTTTATCCGGGAAAGCAGAGTATTTTTGTGTTGGAAATGATAGTTCAAAGTTGCCATACCAATTGTGTAGTCTTCTCCAACAGTCCAGCAAATTGCGCATGTCATGTTGTCCTGCGGGAAGAGAAAAGGGTCCAGGGTACAGGTTGTCGAGGCCAATGCTGCTATAGGCCAGGTCACTTCACCGTCGTTATCTATTCTTACTTCTGTGTTAGGGAAATCTCCGCTGTACCTTGTGTCAGCACTGGAAATATAGAATTGACTTAAAAGAAAATGCATCAGAAAAACATAAATTGATCCCTGTAACAATGATGTTATCAACGTTATGACTGATGCTCAATACTATCATTATAGCCAATACAAGTACTACATATTTAAACAATACCTTTGTTTATGGGATACAGTTAGAACTACAGTATATTTTGAGTTAACCGATGCATTAAAAAAAACAGAACATAATATCTCTATTCTTTATTTGTAGCTGACGTACTGCATTTAGCTCCAAAGGGGGATTAATATGCAATTAGCTTTATTGGCGTTGTAATTGTCATTTTCGGAGACACATGCAAAAGCGCTACCCTGGTAAAAGAATACAGAAATAAATGAAATAAACAGTGAATCGACTGCATCTGGTTACAACGGTTGGCTAATTCTCTTGTATCCATGCGTGCTTTTTGTCTTAAGAAGACCACTTTTTTCTCGGTTCCCTGGTCATAGTTGGTCATTTTAAAATGGTTTAACGATATAAGGTTTACGGTTCGTCCTCATTCAAATGTGCAAAATGCTGTCACCACTATCAATGACTAGATATGAGCAAACATGGATCTAGCTCGGACATAATCGCTTTGATCCTTTACTTACCCACCACACTTACTATGTTTTACGAAAAATGTACATTGCATCACATCACATAAGGTAAATTTGTTGATGAGAGTATAGCCAATTTGGAGAGTTCCCTACGTTACCGCTAAAGTAAGAAGGCCGTGATCGTGAAGTTTAGTGAGGGCCACGTATAAGATAATAAATTGTCGTTTTGATGACATTTGCAAGTATTCTTGGTTTCTACGGAGAGAATACAAATGAAAATTCACTATAATTTGTAGTCACCCTTGCCGAACATAATGTTTTGCAGCAATGACCGTAACCTCCGTAACGCTTGTTGGTTACTTTCAATGTTAGTAGTAAACTCTACCTGGTATAAGAGAGTTACTAAATGTTAAATGTCCGTACTTATGCTAAAGCTAAAACCTGTAGGTCTTTTCGGAGAAAAAAGCCAAAGTGCAATGTTGTAGTAATAACCTCCGTTCCAGTATTCTATACATTTCAATAACAAGCCTTACTTTCTCTCCAGTGTCAATGTTGGTTGCCACACCAGTTCATCACTGACGAAGACGTGGTCAAAATCACCGTACCTCTCAGGATCCCATGTCAATCGATCATCTTTCCAGGTCTGTAAAATACAAACACAAGACAGCATGTATTGTCATGTGATACAAAAGTCATTACACCGCCAGCAAAATTCATATAGTAAAGAAAAAAAATTAATACCAGATACATATAAAAAAAAAATATACATTCTTTATTTGTAAACATATGAGGATATATTTCGATGCCTTGTTAACTTATCTATTTCAATCTAAAGAAAGAAAAGAGGAGAAAGAAAGAAAGGAAAGTATCTTTGAAGTTTGAAATTTTCAATTTCTTGTTTATTCTGTCATTTAGGTCATACTTGGGCCGCGATACCGTCGATTACGTATTTATCTATATATCTATTGA